AGCTCTGGGAACAGACTAAAGATCATTGAGCCGTGCACTTTATGTGGGCATGTACATATGATGAGAAACGTATGTCTGTAAATACAGATGCATTAGTTGCATATGGCTGTGGCCTCCCGTGAGACAGTCGTGTTGTTGGCTGGCCTGAAGTTGTCTGAAAGCCTCATGGGATGGGAGGATATGATTCCCGCACTGTGGCCCAGTTTGTGTTGACTGCTGGCAGATGAATTTAATTCATTGTTCCTTACCAAGTGACTCTTTCCACGAGGCTTTCTCATTGCTCTTATAGTACAGCAGCTGGCTTTTCTGGTCACGAGCGAAGGAGAGAGAAAAGCTTGTACCTTTTACAACCTTGTCTTCTGTGTCAGGAAGTTATTTCATCAAAATCCTATTGCTCATATAAGGGTACAAAAGCAAGAGAGGACTGACTGGAGGCCTGCTGGGAAGTTGGCTCTAAGTGGTGACTAAGTCCACCTGCCTCCTCTTGCCCAGTTAATTAGTTATAACTTGCCTACTAGGCAACACCCTTCTGTGTACACACCCAATATTCATATCCATATGTGTGTGTATGTATGAATATATATAGTCTTTTTCGTAAAGTCTGACTTGGTCTGAAGGTAATGGATTCTTTAGAAATAAATTTCCAAGATGAGTTAAACATGAGAGAGGCTGTTTTCTTACTACCATACACTATAACGTTTGCTTGGCAAAAATATTCGTGTACAGGAAATGTCTTTTCCTGTTGCCACCCCGCTATTAAGAAGTGGGAAACTCCAATCCTCTTGCTCAGGAATCATGAAAAGCACAAACTCAGTTTGAATCAGGCTGCTTAAGCCCATTGCAGGTTTTGTGCCAATGGTTTTACTGGGAGACATAGAAGCTTGGGTGGTCCTTATCTTGCCCCTGGGTGAGAGGATTGTTTTGCCCTGATTACACAGGACTGTCATATTCATTCCGCCAAAGCAGCTGAAAAGAAATCAAAAGGCACCTTCCTATTGTCAAAGTGAGGGAACACAGCTTTACCCAACTAGGAAATTCGAAGCCGGGAGAGTGGAGGCAGGACTCTGCAAATGCTAATATTCCAATTAGTTGATGGCCTCTCCTGGATACACCAACAGGAGACCTTCGTTTTATTTTCAATAAAGAGATCTCATCCAGTCACAGTTCTGGGAAATTCTGAGGTCTTCATACCACTCCAGGGTACCTGAGGCAGGGTGAAGGGAAGAAGGAACCTGGCATCAGAGCTATCTGATTTGATGCTGCTTGCTAACCTGGCCTGCCACCCCCGACTAGTCACTTCCCTGTCATAGGCCTCATTTCTATTCCATAGCATGAGACTACTAGACTAGCTCCAAGGTTCCCAGACCTTCAGATCACAATGGCAGCAAGGATATTCACAGCATGGTCATTCCCCTCTGTGGCCAAATTAAGATCCATTCCCCCTCCCCCAACACACACAAGCTCAGTATCTACAATGATTATGCTTTCATTTTAAAGATTTTCTAGATCTCCCAAAAAGAAAAAAAAGTCACAATCTCCATACAAACATATTCATTTTAATGGAAAAACGGTTTTACAAAATACTCAATGTCCTTCTTGTCCTCACCCCCTTACACCTTCGAAAATGCTGCTGGTCATCATTTGGGATCTCAGGCACCGTCTGTGCAGGGCCTCCTCCACTCGGCATCCAAAAATTCTTCAACAGTGTGCATGGTACACCTAGGGCCCCAATGCTTCCCAAAGGCTATGGAGAACAAGGTTGGGGGAGGCCTGGCAGGAAAGTGTAGCTTTGCCCTCCCCTGTCGTGGGGTACCAGCCACCAGACCCCTTAGCCTCAGCTGAAATGTCCCCCAGATGTGTTGGGAGCAGCTAATTGTTCTAAGCATTACTTCTAAAAAAAGGGCAGAAATGCTTCCACTGTTGTCTACTGCTCACCAGCATCACACCCAACTCAGTGTGACATAGAGCTGACTCCCTTGGAGGGAAGGGTGGGAATTTACTATTCCTCCCCTTAAAATCAAACCCATAGACTGTAGGCAGCATTTCTCTGTCCCACTAGCCCATTCCCAAATAACCGCACAGAGACTTATTAAAATGCTTGACCTATAGCTTAGGTTTGTTACTAACTAACTCTTAGACTTGTTACTAACTAGCTCTTACATCTTAAATTAACCCATATTTCTTATCCACACTCTACCACATGGTAATACCTTTTTTCAGCATGGCATATTCATCTTCTGCTTCCTCTGCATCTGCCCTTCTTCTTCCCAGCGTCCTCTCAGTCTGGCTTTCCCGCCTAACCTCTTCTTGCCTAGCTCTTGGCCAGTCATCTCTTTATTAAACCAATGAGAGTAATATATATTTTCACAGTGTACAAAAGGATTATTCCACAGCAATAGACTCCATAGCTTCCTGGTCCCAATCGCCATAGTCAGCAGCTAGTGCAGTATAATCATGCCCCATACCCCAATGTATATGTTAAAGCCTTAAATACCAGTGAATTTACATTCAGAAGTGAGAGGCAATTTAGGGTTAGATGCCTTCATGAGGGTAGGGCCTCATGATGGGATTAATTAGTCACCTTGTAGGGATAGACAATGGAGAGCTTCCTCTGTCTTGCTCCCCCTCCCTCTTCTTTTCCCTTTCCTGGCAACACACACACACACACACACACACACACACACACACACACACACACACACGCCCCAAGAGGTCACAGCCAGGACAGAGACAAAGTGCATTGGCAAGCCTGAGGGGTGGTTCACCATTCTCTTGCCATCCAGTGTAGCAGGGGTAATGTGGTTGTTAGAGAAGAAGAGGCAATAGGTGGGTTGGTCTGAAAACACAAAATCACCCTTCAAGAATGGACCTCATGACCATGGGAGCCATGATGGGACCTTGAGGTGGAAGGCATTAGAAAAAGGTAGTGCATGATAGCAGAGAAACATGAATGTGGCATTAAAGGGGAAGGAGAGGCTTCCTTCTGGAAAGGAGTCTCATTAAGAGGGATAGTTTAGGGGGAGTGTTAGTTGCAGGGAGGGGTAGGTGTGGCCTTGTTTCTTCAGGCTATGAGATCTGGCAATTCAGAATGAGCAGTGTCTTAAAGGGGCAGGCCCATATCCAACAATGGTGAGCCCCGAAAAGGAAACTGGGAAGATGCATGCACAGCACATCTGCTCTAGAGAGTGAACCATGATTACCAAAATGGTTGAGCCACTACCAAAGTCAGGGCTCTGCACAAAAACCAAGGCAGCAAAGTGTTGGACCGCAATTCTGCCGATACCAGCTGAAAAACTTTCAAGAAATCACTAGAGCCTTTCAGGCCCCCATTTGTAGAATAGGGATCATCGAGTCTGTTTCAAAAGATCTGCATAGAAGTGGAAGTAATGGAAACAGTTGAGGTATGAAAATAGCTGCTGCAGTCTACTGAATACTGGTTCCTACCATGACTAGCCATTTGTAAACCTCTGAGAGTGAATGAATGGAGCTGGTTGATCCTCCATGCGCCTGGAGAGTGGATTTTGAATGCAATGTCTTAGTCAGAACATAGAGTTCATCTTAGAGGTGGTGGAGTGAGGAATGACTTAACAGGGTAAGCTTGGTGACAGGAGCAGGGTGGGAGGGGTGAAGTGTGTTTTTAAAAACTCTTATGGCACATTAGTACCTCTGTGAAAAAGTTACAGCTTTCCTATAGATTCAATCTAAGGGAGCCTGCTAGTCTGTCTATCTCAGTCTTGAATTCCACTGGAAAGGCGTGGGTCTCGGTGCAAGAGGTTCTTACTATGTTAGGGCATTCTGAAGAGAGGTTGCCTTCATCCAAATGGATCATGAAGTCCAGTTGGCTTCTGAGGTCATGGGGAGGCAGATGTCATGAAGTCTTGGCCTCTAGGGTTGACAGGGGAACACACAGAAAGAGAGAAGAGGCCTTTCCCAACAGATTATGTGATGCCTACTAATGGTGGGAAACAGAGGGTGTGAGAACTCGCTTGTGGGTTAAGACTTCATGGGGCATGGGTTCAGCAGAGCAAAGGGTGTCTGCCTTTGAGGAGAAGCCCATGTAGTGGGCCTGCACAGGCAAGCAGAGGTCAGCAGAGCAATGTGAATATTCTGAAGAGGAGGCAACAAAAAGAGGTTGCCAGTCTGACCTTCCTCTAGGAAGAGCTTATGTGTATGTGTGTGTGCGTGTGTGGCGGGGGGGTGTGTGTCTTGGTTTTCCCAGGTCTGATGTGACTTCTATACTTCTACTGAGTGTGTTTTATGGAATTGATGTAGAAGTGGTAAGACTATGGGCCTTGCCTTTCACATCTTGAGAGAGGATGGTGTACAGCCTACTACATTTCCATTTATATAACAAGCTACAGTGGAGTCAAGTTTAGCAATTTAAGCTCTAGAAACAACCATTTGCTTGTTTTGACTAGGGATTGAACCCTGAGAACACTAAGTAAACACTCTACCACCGGGCTATATTCCCAGACTCTTTTTAATATTTTTACTCTCTATGACACAAACTCTTCCCAGGTTGCTTAGGCTGGCCTTGAGCTTGCCATCCTCCTGTTTCAGTTTCTGGAAGACCTAAGATTATAGGAGTGCACCACCATGCCAAACACAATGTCAACACTTCTTAAACATCCTCAGCCACTGAGCAGAGGAAGCAAATCAAGACACAGAAAAAAGAGGTGGGAATCCTCAGGCTTGAGCAGAAGGATGGTTCCAGAATACCAGTTCTCATCATGCAGAACACTCACCCTGGATAGGAGTGGGTGGGAAATCCGCAGATCAGTTTCCAATTAGCTGAGATTGTTGGCATGCTTGCTGATTCAGTCTCAAGATGGGAAACTTTGGGTTTGATGTATGAAGAAAGAACATTCGCCTGACACAGACTCCACTAACATATAGCTGCAGCTCGCTCATAACCAAGACTCTCTTTATCTCAAAACGATCTGTGCAATCTCCTCATTCCTGTCTCTGAAACCCCTTGCTCTTTTGTACCTCCCAGGGCACACCAGCGGCCTCCGTGGTTTGAAAGGCACCACCTACCTACCGAAGGCTTCTGCTGTCACTCTCAACCCATTCGCACTGGAGAATGTAATTTTAGGTTGACAACGCTGCACTAAGACCCTAATACTGAGAGAAGAACACAACTGACATAAAGTATGAGGCAAGTTCAATGACAACACAGGAGTCAAGCAAAATAGAAAACGAGAAATATTGATTCCAGAAAAAATATTTTTCATAATATGTTATGATTGGGTATTTGTAATGATCCTATTGTGAACACATGAATGTTGATCTGATTGAAATCTTCTTTACTTTTGGAAGGATTGGGGTGGGGAGGTTACTGCATGTGGTAAGGTAGGATTGGTACCTGAAAACCAACAACACAAAAGGCAGTGGGATACAGATATTCCTAAGGGATGTAGAAGTGTATTTCCCATTTCTGCTAAGAAGCAGTTACTTCTGGGGACCTGAATGTGGGATGGGTCTACATGTGGTCTACACTCAAAGGAATACACTCAGTTCTGAGAAGGAAACTTTATTTTCAGTAGCATGAATAGAAGTGAAAATATTATGCAATAAACCAAACACAAGAAGATAAAATACCCCATGTTCTCACAGTTTTATTCAGGAAAAAGAGAGCAGGATAGTTGATGGGAGATTGGTCAGAGGGCCAAAGTCTCAGAAGGAGGGATGAGGCTGAACTGTAAAGACAATTGCACAGTATGTTGAATATACCTAATAGTTTCAGATATTATACATTTCATTGACTAAAAACAACATTTTCATGTCCTCAATACAAAAAGTGAAAATAGCTGAGATGCCTAGGTTAAAGAGCTTAATTTCATCACCCCATTGTATTTTCATTGTAATTCAAAATTACAACACAACCTTGAACCCCATAAATATACATAACTTTTCAATGCATAGTTAAAACAAGGAAATAGATGCAGGAGTTAGAACGTGTTTGGCGCTAGTTTTTAAATGAGAGCTGGACTGGAGAACAGGGCTTAGACCTGTAGACCATTAGCAGCTGTTGAATCTAGGGCTTGAGCTGAGAAGTCGAAGTGTTGACTAGAGAGCAGACATCTGACCAACCAGAGGCTCCTTCAGTCTCAGCAAGCTTGAGTCATACAGGGATCTTGCTGGCACTCACATTCTGATTGTGCAGGTCTGGGGTGGGGCCGGAGATTAGGTCTCTATTTCAGGAGGACTGATGTGTTGACCTGAATCAGGAGCACTTAAGCCCTAAACTCTTCAGGCTTGCCGGGCTTCAAAACAGACTGATGCCTCTATCTGGCCCTGAGGAAAACTCTGGATGCAACCTGGCAACTGAGAAGTGTGTGTATGTGATCCTAAAGTCAAGCAGCACCCAAGCCAACCAACGTTGTGAGAATGCTTATTCTTGCACTGGCACAAGAAATTGGTGCCAGAAACAGAGTAAGAGGCCCAAAGTACTTGTCTTGGTCTTTTAACGTTAAAGAGGTGACCTAAAAGCTCTGTAAAAGTGATTCATAGTATGTTAGATTTTGTTTGTTTATTTTTGTTTTTTTCGAGAGGTTTCTTATTGTAGTCCCGGCTGTTCTGAAACTCACTCTGTAAACCAGGCTGGCTGCCTCCAGAGTGCTGGGATTAAAGGCGTGCGCAGCCACTGCCCGACTTTAGATGTTTTTAAATGAAAATGAACACAACACTCAATTATGAATAAAATATAAAAACTCCAAGGGTAGGGTTCGTAGTAGTGTCATGTGGAGTTATTACTGGAGCTTTTGGATGAAGGGAAATTGGTGATACTGGTCTTCTAAGCTGTATACCAGCTTTCTGACCTCCCAAGCCTTTGGCTAAACCATTTAGTTAAGGAATCCCAGAGGTGGGGCCATTTGCTGGGCTTTGTGAGGCTCCTCCCACCATCCACTGACTCTGACACCAGTGATGTGTAGGTCTACTCTAGTCCTGGCATTTCAGAGCTGGATCACAGAAATTCTTTTATGTAAAGCAACTGGGTCCACAAAAACAACAGCAGGCATTTACTGAGCTCTAAGTGTTTACAAATACTCTCTCCTCACTTTGGCCTTGTGGGGTGTTAATTCCTAGTACCGGTGGGAAAACTGAGTTACGGAGCACAGTGACTTGCTCACAACTCCGCAGCAAGTAAAACACTGAGAAAGAAAATCAGACCCTGTCTGTTGGCCCGCCAAATCACTGAGCACAACCACTCAGACAAAAACGTGACCCTTATCACACGGAGCACAACAGAAACATTAAAAATACAAAGAACAACGCCAGCAACAGAACCATCACATGCGATTCACGGGGACCCTCTGTATTTATTGAATTTCGGTAATATGAGAGTAAGGCTACCCAAGAGGGGTTCAGTATCACCGGATGGTGTACCTGTCCCACTTCTTCTCGGGGTCGTAGGGCTCCCAGCGGCTGGCAGGGAAGATGTGTTTGTTCTTCTCGTACCAGCTGCGCAGCACCACCTTGCCCGCGTGCGACTCGTCTTTCTCCATTGTGGCATCGCTCAGCAGCCGCACATCGTCGTGCACGTCGAAGCTGAAGAGTGGCCCACTCTTGCCCCGCGCCTTGGCCACAATGAAATCGTAGAAGGTGTGGTAGTGCGGCAGGATGAGGTCCTCCTTGACATACATGAGCTGCTCCACGCCTGCGGCGCGCAGCTCCCGGAAATCCCTGCGCAGCCCCTGTAGCGCCCTCTTCAGGAACTGCTGCACGGTGCTGCCCTTGCGCATGCGTACCGTGCGCCGGTGGCCAGACCCATCCCAGTAGCTGAAAGTGATCTCCACCTCCTCGCCCTTCACCTTCTCGCGCTTCGCCTCCCACTCCTGCCTCAGCTCCTCGCGTAGCCGGTTCTCCTCTTCCTCGCGCTCGCGGTCGGGCAGGAAGCTGGTATCCACATCGGGGTTCTTGCCCAAGTTCTTCTTGGCCCCACCACTGTGGGCCTCATTGCCCTCAGCCCTGCGGCCATCCTCTTGGTCGCCGTCATCTTCCTCTTCCAGAGTGAAGGACAGGTTGGAGATCTTCCGCTTGCGCTCGCGCCTTCGCTCCTTCTCCCGCAGCATCTCCAGCTGTAGCCGGCGCTGCTCCAGCTGCTCCCTCTTGGCCAGTTGCATCTCCCGTTCCCTCAGCAGGGCTTCCTGCTTGGCCTTCATGTCATTCAGGGTCACCAGGCCCACCGTACTGGACTTCAGCTCGGCCTCCACAGCGTCGTAGTGTGCTGAGAACTTCTTGTCCACCTTTGACTTCATGATGGTCTCCTCCGCGATGCGCTGCTTCAGCACCTCCATCTGCTCCTTCTGCTTCTCCCGCTTCTTGATCAGGTGCATGGCCCGGCCGGCCTCCCGCATGGTGCCCTTGTACTGCGCCATGCCTGCAGCTCAGCACAGTCCCTAGGTCCTGCCCAGTCTCTGTCTCTGGTAGCCTTCTGGGTCTGACGTCAGATTCTGCAGCTAGGAACAAACAAACAAAACGGTTGGGAATCAAACCGCCACAGCAGCTTCGTTAGTGGTCTACACCAGCACCTTTCGATAGAACTTCCTCTCTGTCGGATGATTCTGTTTCCGAGGTGACCCAGTGTGGTAACTACCGACCACATAAGGCCCCTGAGCACGTGAAAAGCAACTGCTATCACCAAGGGAGCAATTTTACTTCAAATTGAGATAGCTTTGTGTCACAACTGTTCAGTGTGGGTTTTGAGGAGCTGCATGTGGAGGTTGACCCTACAGAGCAAACCTTTATTCCACATGCTGCCTAGGTGTCTGCTCAAGCATAGCCATGCCAGAGCATGGCACAAGAGAGCCTGGGCCTGAGCTCGTGAGTACTGGCCATAGGAAAACTGGGATCGAGAGGAAAACTGTGTCTTCTGATGAGGAAGGTTGGCCCTGCAGGATAGATCTTGTCTTTGTTGGACCACCCTCCTGCAGGACAGGGAAAGAGTTAATTCTTGGGAGCTTTCCCTATGTGCACCTCCCTGGAAAATGATGATGCAAGCTGAAGTTCCCATTAATGTTATGGTCATGGCAGGTCCTGACCAGCTTCCATCCCTACCACAGTCTTAGGAATGATTTCTGCATGGAGTACTAGTTGAACTCACCTAAAGTACACAGAAGCAAATGAATGCTGGTCTCTCCCTCCCTTGCTGTGAGAAACAAGACATCAGGAACTGCATGCAGCAGAGGCAGGCTAAGTAAAAAATGCCTTCTCTTCGCTTCAGCCAAAGCAAAAGAGAGACCTCCTAATTTAATGGACTCAACGTGAACTGACCACTTTCTACTAGTACCGGTTCGACCCTCCTTACCCTTCTAGAGCTCCACCATTACTCAATGGATTCTCACTCACACCCATGCACCCCATGACAACTAACATCCCCTTATCCAACTCTTCCCATACCCCAAACTAGTCCCCCATGCTCTCTGGAACACAGTGCATTGGCAAACTCATAGGACATCCCCTTTAAACTTCTGGGAGTAGACCGAAGCCAGGTCTCCTCTGAGGACACCATTTCTCCACGTAGCTCCATATCAGTGTTTTCTCTGACTTTCTACATCATACCAAAACAAAAACAAAACAAAAAACAAAAAACTAAATGTGAGACATGTTTCATCACCATTTCAATAATACCTTTACTTTCTTTGATATTGCAAGCCACTCTGTAGCTTATGCTGCACCCTGGCCTGCTAATGGGATCACTGCTTGAATTCCTCATCCTGCTAAGTCCTTGGAAATCATCAGCACATGCTCAGTTGCTGCCTTTTTCCATCCCAGCCCATTGCTATCCCAGGTGTCAGCAGCACAGCCCATCCAGCACCTTCACCTCACTTACAATAACTTCTTCCTTGTCCACTCATTCTCCTATCCACATGGTAATTAATACCTTAGCTCTTACGACAACCAACAGATTCATCTTAAGTTCCCCACATAGTTCCTTTGCATTCATGTTCTCTAGTTTTTTGGATTCCAACTGCCCTCTGTTAGCCCAGACCTCCACATCCAAAGGCCCCCTGCACCTGCCCATTATCATCACACCCTCCTATACTTCTGTGCTTCCCATCCACCAAGGATCAAACTTCTTCCTAATGCCTTCACACCTCCTGCCTGCTGAAATTCTAAGAAACCCTAATCCTGGCTAAATCTGGAGTATCTCTCAGCTCTTACATCCAGGTAGTTGATTGACTAAGAAAATGAACAAACTGCTGGCCAGCTTCACTTTAAATCCATGACTTCAGGCCTCTATGAGGACTCAATACCACCTAGAAACTGCCATACTGCCACAATGTGTCTGCTGTCCCACTCTTCAAGACAGAGATCTCATTCCTCCTCCATCTCCACTTAACCCCTGATATGGCTCAGTGGCTGGGGATCCTTTTGTCCTACACCTCTTAGTTCTTGTAGCTATTATTTGATACCAGAATCCTAACCTCTCACAAATGTCATGACACATAGATTGCACTTGCTTTGTTAGATCAGTTTAACACAGCACTTTCTCTAAAAATATTATCTGGGAAGGAGGTTTCTAAACTCAAGTTAACTGTGGAAAACAGGTATCATTGTAGGCAGATTTTTCTTTAGGCTGCCAGCTCACGAAAAACGACATGGAGACTTATTATGAAAGCTCAGCTGTGGTGATATTATGTTCCCCAAAATATTGTGCACCCCAATAAACTTATCTGGGGTCAGAGAACAGAACAGCCACTAGATATAGAGGCCAGAGAAAATGGTGGCACACATGCCTTTAATCCTATCACTTGGGAGGCAGAGATCCATTCGGATCTCTGTGAGTTTAAAGCCACACTGGAAACAGCCAGGCATGGTAACAAGAGCCTTTAATCCCAGGAAGTGAGTCTTTAATCCCAGGAAGTGATGTCAGAAAGCAGAAAGGTATATAAGGCGTGAGGACCAGGAACTAGAGCCTGGTTAAGCTTTTAGGCTTTTGAGCAGCAGTTCAGCTGAGATCCATTCGGATATGGGGACTCAGAGGCTTCCAGTCTGAGGAAACAGGATCAGATGAGTAATTGTCAAGGCGAAGTGGCTGTGGCTTGTTTTGCTTCTCTGATCTTCCTGTATTCACCCCAATACCTGGCTACAGGTTTGTTTTTATTAATAAGACCTTCTAACAATTCATACTACATCTCTCTTTTTCTGAGGGGAAGGACGGCAGCGGCAGTGAAGAGTAAGAAAGGGTTTTTAGTATCAGCTCTTAGCTACTGCTCTGACCTCTTGGGCTTTTAACTCTGCATTTGGCTTTGTGTTTCTTATTTAATGAGGCTGTTATATCTACACTCAGCCTATGGCTTAGGCTTGTCCCAGTAGCTCTTGTAACTTAAATTAACCCATTGCTATTACTCGACCTGCTGCCACTTGGCTCGTGGCTTTTGTCTCTCCTCCTGCATGTCCTGCTTCCTCTGCACCCAGTGACTCCCCCTTTCTTCATCCCAGAGATCTGTCTGGAAGTCTCGCCTATACTTCCTGCCTAGCTATTGGCCATTTAGCTTTTATTAAACCAATCACAGTGACATATCTTTACACAGTGTAATCAAATCTTGCAACATATCATAGCTTAACTGTAGGAAGCCTTTAATCTGCTTGCTTCCAGGAAGCAAGGTCAGGGCATATGTGTAAAGGGCAGAGGGAGGCAAAACTCCATCCTATCTCTAAGGTACTGCATCTTTGGCTTCAGTATTACAATGTATCATGGAAACACAGCTTGTAAGTTTCACCAGACAGGACACCAAGACATAACAGAAAACAAGGGGAGAGGTTAGACACCTGTTTACATCAGGCTATGTGTAGTAGAGACCAAAAGACCCGGAACTTAAAATACCCTGAGGACCTGCACCTGTTGACCTCTACCTGCTTCCATTCAGTGCCTCCCAAGGTCCAAGCCATAGGTTGAGTATCAAGGCCCCTTTGGTCATTGTTTCACATCCAAATCATAGTTTTCTTAGAAAAGTAAATGTTTTACACAGGTCAGGAATGGCCCCTCTAACTGTTTACTTGAAGCAGAGTGTGGTCATGTTATTTTATGAAGGAAAGGGTAGACACTGCCAGCCATTCAGCATCTTCTTCCAACTCTGCATCCTCTTTCCAGCTTTTCCCATGACCCTTAAAACTGGTCCAAATCAGAGGAAGGATGAGCCCACTCTCTGCCCCTGTAGGCAGTTCTAAAACAAGCCTGTGAGGCAACTTGGCCCTTTGCCAGCTCCCTCCTCCTTTTCCCCCCACCCCTGATGAGGATTACTGGTGATCTAACACCACTGTGGTCTTGCTTTGACAAACTCAAAGCAGATGGCTTCTGTCCTTGGCAAGGGACAACATAAGAATGAAAGGTTGCTTACAAACTTGTATCTTCTCCTACCTTGGAGCAGTGGCAGCTGCTTTCCAGGATCTCTGTCCTGGGCTCAGCAAAGGCCACACTCCACATAGTCAATGCTAAGACCCAGTAGAACATTGTGAGTGTCAGAGGGGTTGATGCACCTAGGAACTGCAGAGTTGGGTGTAGGAAATCCTGTTTCTGGGGCTATTTTCTAGGACGGCAGCTGTAGGGTTCACAATGAGATGGGAGATTGCCCTGAAATACCAAGGTCTTGGCTGGAAGTGGGTGGGGAATGATAGCCCAATCTACTCAGGAAATGAAATTCCAAGATATCAAGGTGCTTTAGAACCTAGTATTGACCTGGTGGGCAAGAGGGCTAAATACTCCTGGGAACCATGACTGTAAAAATAGCAGAATTTACATCATCAGTGTGTTCACAGGGTTACTATGGTGTCTTTGTTCGTGTCAATAGGGACAATGTGCTATTTGACCCCATGTAAATTCGTTCCTTTTACTTTCAGTCATTTATTTGACAGAGAATTCCCTCAACCATTCAGAGCATTCTGAATGTCTACCTCTGTCTGCTCAGAGAACTACTACTCTGGAATACCCTAGAGCTTTTGCAAACACACATTTCTACTCCACGCTTCATGGAAAACAAGACTGATTAATTCTTTTCCCAGCTATCAGGACCCTCCAGGGACCTACCAGCCTCAGAGGAGTTTTGATATCATCTGCAGTTTCCTGTGTGTGTTTCACTTGCTGTAGGGTTTATGAACTGGCTATGAACATGGAGGACAGTGCCCAGAGATGGGACCATTTTGTAGTATGTACATAGAACAAGAAATCCAGAAACTTCTCCTTGGACCAGTTTTTTTTTCCCCCCTTTGGTTTTTTGAGACAGGGTTTCTCTGTGTAGCTTTGTACCTTTCCTGGAACTCACTCTGTAGCCCAGGCTGGCCTCAAACTCACAGAGAACTGTCTGCCTCTGCCTTCCAAGTGCTGGGATTAAAGGCGTGCACTACTACTGTCCGGCTTGGACCAGCTTCTTACTGCATCCATTTTGACCACTTCGACCTTTCTATAGACTTGTCTTTTCCATCAGAAACTCCACTGTTTGTGGTAGCAAACTAAAAACCATTAAAAGAAAAGAAAACAAACAAACAAACAAAACTTGCTGGCCTTCATTCTTGCTACTCATCACTTTGATATGGGACTATATAAAAGAAAATATATGACTAGCTGCTTACAATTTATTTGGGTTATAATTGGAGATATGATTTTAGCTAAGACTTTTTATCCCCCCGCCCCATTAATTTTTACACATGCATAAAACACAGGCCATTCTTTTTGGTGTTTAGTTATGGAAGTTTTCACAAATGCCCAGGTGCCTGTGAATTTTGGCAGACTGTAGTCATTCGCATTTCAGAAACACCTGTGGTAGCTCTGAGATCCGCTTTCCCCATCCCCCTGAGCAGAGTGCTGCCTGAGGGCACAGAGCTTGCTCCTGCCTTGGGGAGGCACTCCAGCTCTGTGCTGGGGTCCAGGCAGACACACAGCTGGAGCTGATAAAATCCTGAGCTCTGCCATTCTGTACCACCCCGACGTCCACACCCTGGCTGCAGTGCCACGTTCTGCTGTGTTCTACTATCAGTTAGTCAAGTGAAACTCTTGGCTCAAGACTTCCTGTCTCAGTGTTGTGGCTGAAAGCTCAGTCTTCCAGAGGAAGGGAGGAGGGGTTGATTGACTCTTGATCTAGGGGAGATCTTGCTGAAGCTCTGTTGTATAAAGCTCTTGGCAACATCTTTAACAAAAAGTTAAGGAAAGTGAAAGCAGTGGAGATGGCTCAGCAGGTGGAACCCTGACGACCCACATTTGTGTTCCCATGTTAAAAAAAGCCAGATGGAATAGTACAGGTCTCCAACCCAGCATTCCTGCAGTGAGAAGGGATGCAAAGACAGCAGTACTCTGTAGCAGGAATCTTAACAGGTCTTATTAATAAAAACAAACACGGGGGCGGGGGAGGGGTGTTGGGGATTTAGCTCAGTGGTAGAGCGCTTTCAAGGCCCTGGTTTGGTCCCCAAGTCCGGGGTGGGGGTGGGGTGGGAGACCAAAAAACCCCAAAAAAACCCAGTACCAGTTATTGGGGTGAATGCTGGAAGATC